TAAGATTATTGGTACCGTCTTTGTAGCTCCATTTGCTTCTGAATGATAGTATGGTACTCGTTGAAATTTAAATTAAATTTTTCCTTTAAATTAAGTCTTATGAACCAGAAGAACCAGAGTTTTCCGAATGAAAAATATTGAGTTTCAAGAAGATTTTCAAAAGGTAGGGCATTTTCGAACTGGTTGCCGAGATGGGTCGATCTTCTACTCAGCCGTCGATATGTAGCAAGATTTTTAAATCATTTCTTGTTTGGTTATAGGTATTTTACATAACCATTACCTGTTAAAATGTAACTGATGTAATTGATAGAGTTGCGCCTAGAGCTTTATAATGGGTTTTTCGGACATTTAAAAACTGTGAACATTTTCCCAACTTTCTTTTTTTATCAAATTAAACTAACTTCTATATTAGAAATACTTTATTGTTCGCACCAGAATAACAAATCAACATTCTTAAATCCTAAAACCTCAATTCACATGCCTGTCGAAAATTTCAATACCAGCAATATTGTCGGTCGGCACGTAGACACCACACGAAGGTCAACCAACTACTCTGCACTGCAACTTAGTTTTAGGCAGACCACAAAAGCCGCCAAAACAACCATTCATGACAAGGGACGTACGCTTTTTACAAACGATATACGTATACACATATACAGTATTGGCCAATACAATAGCACCCCCATTTCAAAGTCATATTGTTTGCCACTCATGTTTATTTTTTTATTATTAAGAATTTTCAATTAAAACACAGTTCATTCTCTCACAAAACTCACATAACCTCAAGTTTAAAACTTTTTAAAAGACCGCAAAAAAGTGCAACAAATTTTCACCCAAATTTCAAACTTTTTTCTCAGAAGCGGTAGAATTTTTTTGAATACACAGTTTTATAGCCCATTCAATTTTAGTCTAATAATGTGCAAGTTTCAAGTGGCTAAAAATTACCGTTGATTTTTTAGAATTTTTTTCGCCGAGGATGTTGTGGGTTTCTGCCATATAAAAATAAATTGTGTTTAGTCGTTATATGGAAGCAAATGAGACAAAAAAAAATTCTCAAAAATCAACGGTAATCTTTAGCGACTTGAAACTTGCACATTATGTGACTAAAATTGAATGCGCTATAAAACTGTGTACTGAAAAACATTCTAGAGCTTCTGAGAAAAAAGTTTGAAATTTAAGGGAGAGTTTGTTGCGCTTTTTTGTGGTCTTTTAAAAAGTTTAAAACATGGGATTATATGGGTTTTGTTAGAGAATGAACTGCATTTTAATTGAAAATTCTTAAAAACAAACAATATCGCTTTGAAAGGGGGTGCTATAGATATGTCCAATACTGTATATGTACATACATATGTATGTATTCCCTAAACCCACAAAAAAAAGTAGAATCTACGGGCACGTGCCAAGTAACAGTAAAAAAAAAGAATGTTGAATTGAAATGAAATAAATAGGAGGCATAATTTGTGTGAGGTCAACGGATAAAGGGCGAAAAGTTGCAAGTTGTGGCACGCGTGCGATACAGTTGTACAACATAAATGAATCTGTATGGTTGTATAGTATGTGCCTTGCTTGCAAGTCCTCAATCTATTTTGTTAAAAATAGCTCATTCTACATATAGTTGCTTTATTGTATTGAAGAGACGTAAAAATGAATGCCAACTCCTATTTGGTCATCAATTCAGGAACTTCAAAAATTGTATAAATGCATTTATGGTATGCCTTTAAAATGAGCCTGCTGTTTTTTTTTTGTCTTTTTTTTAGCAAATTAATTTACAAGGTGTAAATAAATACAACGAATATTCAATGGCGAATAACTGCAAAAGCGTATAAGTGGAATACATAGGTATATGAAACACATCAGTGAATAGAATGGCCATTGAATTTTTCATTCGAACACATGTAATATACATGCATACATACATATACTGTACATCTACGTATACACAAGCATTTACATACATACCCAGTGGGAATTAGGAGCACGTGCTTATACCTTATTAGCAACTTACTCTTCACCTGGCAGTCATTACCATTTCCCTGCCGAACATCCCTTACTTTTACAAAGGCATGGCCGCCTTATGTAAGTAGGAATTTGGAATGTACATTTGGTATCAGACCTACTTCTGAGCCGCTTTACAAAGTA